TTCGATGCTAATCACATCCGGTCTACCTACATGCTATTGGGGAGAGGCTTTGCTGATGGCAAACTAAATTCTGAACAGAGTACCCTATTCCAAAACTGATAGTACTCCTTATTAGTTATGGTTAGGATATACAGATCATTTGGATAGTATTAAAGTGTGGGGTTGTCTCGCATATATCCGAGTTCCAGATATCAGAAGGCCTAAGCTCGGACCAAAGACAAACAGATGTGTGTTTCTTGCTTTTGCTAAAGATAGTGATGCTTGCAGGTTCCTTGATCTTGGAACCAACTCCATCATCGAAGCTCGAGATGCAGAATTCTTTGAGGATAAGTTTATCAAAGATAAATGATTATTGCTCAAAGATAAAGCAGAGAATGCTAGTATGTCAGACGCACCAGAGGAGCTAGTTTCGCGAGAAACTAAAAGTATCAGTGATGAAGGAGTTACTGAACCATCTTTCAAGTGTGTCAGGAGACAGAAAGATTTTAGAGATGATTTCATCACCTATAATGTGGAAGTAGACCCACAGATTTTTCAAGAAGCAATACACTCCACAGATGTTCTTCTGTGGAAAGAAGCTATAGATGATGAGATAAATTCATTGATCCAAAATCACACGTGGGAGCTGGTGGATGTACCTGAAGGTGCTAGGCCTATTAGTTGCAAGTGGATCTTCAAGAAGAAGCTTTGTCCTGATGGTACTATTGAGAAGTACAAAGCAAGACTGGTGGCAAAAGGATTCTCTCAGAGAGAAGGAATAGATTTCTTTGATATCTATACACCAGTTTGCAAGATCACTACCATCAGAGTGCTTATCGCATGGGCGGTGATAAAGAGGTTCGTCATATATCAGATGGATGTGAAGACTGTCTTTCTCAATGGAGACATCACAGAAGAGATCAACATGAAGAAACCAGAAGGACTTGATGCTCCAGCTGGTAAAGTTTGTAAACTGATTAAGTCTTTATATGGACTTAAGCAGGCACTGAAACTCTGGCATGAGAAGTTCGATGGGGTTGTTCGCAACAATAGGTATCAAGTCAGTGAGTCTGACAAGTGCCTATACATCAAGGTTGCTGAAGGGAAGGTGGTGGTTATCTGCCTCTATGTGGATGATATGCTCATCATCAGGAGTGATTTGGAGATAGTAATATCTACAAAAAAATTTCTATCAGCTCAGTTCAGCATGAAGGACCTTGGAACTGCGGACGTGATTCTCAAAATAAAAATCATATATTCTGAAGAGGGTATTGGATTGTCCTAATCTTATTATGTCGAGAGCATGCTAAGGAAGTATGGCTACTTTGACCTGTTAGAACTGTTAGTGTCGTATGATTACAACAAGAAGCTTCGACCGAATAATGGAAGACCAGTAGAGCAGCTAAGGTACTCAAAGATAATTGAAAGTCTTATGTATGCGATGAGCTACACAAGACCAGATATATTATTTGCTGTAGGAATGCTTAGTAGGTTCACAAGTAATCCTGAAAAGCTTCACTGGGATGCTGTCCAGAGATTGATGAGATACTTGAAAGGAATTATAGGTTTGGGCCTATCCTACACTGGATATCCAACTGTAATCAAAGGCTATTCAGATGCGAGCTGGTGCTCAGAACCAAATGAGTATAGATCTACTGAAGGTTTTGTCTTCACCATGGGTGGAGCTGTCATCTCGTGGAAATCTAAGAAGCAAACTATGATTGCACAGTCATCGATGGAATCTGAGTTCTAATCTAAGAAGCAAACTATGATTGCACAGTCATCGATGGAATCTGAGTTCTTCGCACTCTGTGCTGCAGGAGATGAATCGATGGAATCTGAGTTCTTCGCACTCTGTGCTGCAGGAGATGAAGCTGAGTGGCTCAGTTGTATTCTCTAAGACATTCTATTGACAGAATTGCAAGGCGCAATTACAATCTATTATGATAATCAGGCAACGGGTGTTGTGGCAGCGAACTCGTTGTTCAATGGAAAGAAGCGGACCATTCGTCTGAAGTATGGCTATTTGAGAGAACTCATTTTCTAAGGAGTCATCTCGGTGATTGACGTTCGGTCTTCAGAAAATATGGCTGATCCTTTGACTAAAGGTCTGAAAAAGAACATAGTCGAAAAGATGTCTGCTGTAATGGGTCTCAAAGTTTTGTGAGTCTTATAAATGCTTACCATGTTCATCCAATTATTAGTTCAAAGTTTACGCTACCAATAATAAAGATAACTGGTTCACAAGTCAAGTAAGATTTGCAAAGTTTGGTGAGTCTTACAAACACTTGCTATTTTGTCAAGTTATTAGTTCAAAGCTTACACTGCTAATGACAAGATGATTGGTTCAAAAGTCAAGTAAGACTTACAAGTAAAATCCTATTATGTAAAGAGGTTGGTTGTTAAGCCTTAATGGGTCCGAAGCATTTCGGATGCATGATGTTGGATAGGTAACATGCCTAAAGAACTCACCGATAATCCTATCATGTAAAGGGGTTGTCTGTTAAGCTTTAATGGGGTCCAAAGCATTTCGGATGCGGGGTGTTAGATAGAAAACACGCCTAAAGGACTCACCTAGAATCCTATCATGAGAGAGGATGACTCTTAAGCCTTAATGAGTTCAAAGCATTTCGGATGCAGGATGTTTGATAGGAAACATGCCTAAGCATTTCGGATGCAGGATGTTTGATAGGAAACATGCCTAAAGAACTCACCTATGCCTGGGTGGAGATTTGACCGTCTCCTATGGTGTCTTGTGGAAAGATACCTAGAGCCCTAGTAGAAACAAGGACTAGCACAGGGTCATAAATGTGCAAATGCAAAGGCAAGTGTGGTTCAAAGTGAAAACTATCACAGATGAGTTTGATCTTACGTGATCGCTGAATTTTAGACATGTGCTGGTTCAAGTCTCTGCGACACCATACATCTATCTTCTATTCAGTTGGTCTAAGGGGGATTCAAGTCCTTGCGACATTTACCTTATGCATAACGATTGAAACAACGACACCATAACACGACACTAGTTTAAAAACTTGTGGGGGATTGTTAGATTTTTTGGTCAAAACTGCTTTCCAAAATGAATTTCAAACTATATATATATTAACTACAAGTACTTTTCATAAATGCTTAGTAGCCCAGTGGAAAATTTATGTTTTGGTGTTTTAAAAGGTCCATTGTTCGAAGCTTGCCAACAGCAAGCCAAGAAGTATTTTATTTGAATTAATCCCTCATAAGTTCTAGTGGGCCGTGGATCGTGGACCGTGGGCCAATGGGCCAGGGATCGGGGCTAATCGGGCTGAGATGCTAAGTGACGCTTTGTTAGACATACTTTACACTTCGTACGGAGGCATCGGGGTGAGGTGGCGCCACATTGGCTGCCAGGAAGATTGCCTCGCAGGCTGCTTCACAGCATGCGGACGAGTTACGTATTCGCACGAGGGTGACCCTAGCATTCTCGTAGTTTAACAAAGTTCACTCGTTCGACGAGGTTCATCTATCATACGAGGTTTGCCTGCACATTGGCTGCCAGGAAGATTGCCTCGCAGGCTGCTTCATAGCATGCGGACGAGTTACGTATTCGCACGAGGGTGACCCTAGCATTCTCGTAGTTTAACAAAGTTCACTCGTTCGACGAGGTTCATCTGTCATACGAGGTTCGCCTGTTTGATAATGTTCGTTCGTTCGACGAGGTTCGTCTGTCATACGAGGTTTGTCTGTTTAACGAGGTTCGTCTGTCATATGATGTTCGCTTGTTTGATGATGTTCGCTCATTCGACGAGGTTCGTCTATCATACGAGGTTCACCTGTTTGACGACGTTCGTTTGTCAAACGAGGTTCATCTGATTTGCTGAGACGTGACCCTCGCGTTTCGAAGCAACTCGTCCATTGATTGCCTCGTATTCAGCAGTTACTGCATGCAGTAGTTACAACAGCAATTAGAGCAATTTAATGTATTGATATTACAATCTTAATTGCCATTAAGAATCATAATAGTCATATTAATTGCTAGTGACTCTTGAGTTGGCTTTAGAGGCCTATAAATAGCGTCATTGGGCAGCTCTTGGTTGCGGCTGAAAACTCTCTCGCGAGCGTGGAATACGAACGTCAATATAGAATACGAATGTCGGTATACACACGCGAGCTTAGAAAACAAACGTCGGATCGACGTTGTTGTTGTTGTTGTTTTACTGCTGCTGCAAAAACTGTGCCCGCGGGAACCCTAAAACCAAAAGGTTTTAAACCGAAAGGTTCTGAGATCGAGGAGATCTTTTGCCTTGACCGAAAGGTCTTATAGATCGAGGAGATCTTAATAGTACTGGGTTGGTGCACACCAGAGTACTGTACTGCTGTTCCTGAAAGCAGTTTGGCCTTGGGATCCTTGCATCGGAGTAGGCCAAATATTGCTTTAAGCTGAGCGTTTCACAAACACACAGCAGTTAATTGAAAAAAATTTAAAATAACAGCACATCATCCTTCACTGTTTAATTCTAGATTTAACCATAATTTCCAACATTTTAGCCATCCGATATTTTCCCGATATCTGATATTTAAAACGTTGATATTTGCATGTTATATACTATTAATAGTAGTCTACGCTAAGTCATAGTGTTACATGATTAGTGCAGTGTTTGTTTGTCAAAGTAATTATGTTGTTAGCGAAACAAAAGGAGTCCCATGTTGAAACTATTTATGTTTATAGCTCCATTTTAATCATCATGTATATCATTACTCATTAGCCATACTATACTTCTGTCATATCCATTGCAGTCATGATTAACTAAAAACGGTTACTTTATTTAACTGTGTATCTACACCTAAATATTATATATGTAATGTCTAATATTATTTATCCGACAAAAAATCTATACATAGGAGGACATAGGAGGAATTAGGTATCGAGGGCACACTATGTATGGCAAGAAAGTTTTGGCATAAAAAGCTGAAATTGTTTTTAACCCTTCAGTCCTTTTTATTAGTGAAAATCTAATAAAAATTTACTTTGTTGATTGATTTTTTGTTAGCAAATGGCTTATCAGTATGCTAAGAAGGGAGCCAACATGGTTTTAGTGGCAAGAAGAGAGAACTCGCTAAAAGAGGTGGCTGAAAATGCGAAGGCTCTTGGAGCTCCCGATGTTCTGCATATTCCCGCTGATGTTGCAAAGCCCGAAGACTGTCGAAGGTTTGTGGAGGCTACCGTTAGCCGTTTTAGCCGATGTGAGTTTTTCTTCTATCAGTAAATTAATGTTACAATTCTTTAATTTGAGACTGCGAGATTGAAATTTGAATTTGTTGATTGATCGTCTCTAGTTTTGTTTGGTTGTTGCAGTGGACCATCTTGTGACTAATGCAGGCATTGTCAATCTTTGCGCGTTTGAAGAAGTTACTGAGATCACCAATTTTAATCAGATTATGGTAATTAACAACTTAAAATTTTAAACTTTAGTTATCATGTAATCTTGTCACAGTATTTGTGCATCTTCAAAAACAAAGCCTACGTGGTTATTTAGTCCCTATTGAACGTTTGAACTACACCACCTTTTCCATACCGTGCATACTCTTTTCATGTTGTCCATCCTCAATCTAACATTAAGAATTTCCATTTTATATAGATATGTCGAACATGAGATAAGTAGCCAAACAAACATTTGGTAAATGAAAGATTTTATTCACAGACCAAAAATAGTGAAGTTAATTACATCACTATGCTCAGATTGAGAGAAATCTGAGAGCTAGAACACAACTAACAAAGAAAAAGACTAGCCAACCTTGAGATTACAGGGAATGAAACCAGACCCTATCTTCATTCGGTAGTAGGGGCTTGTTGAGGATAGCAGTATACATTTTAATTTTAATGTCCCTGATAATCTGGTTAGAGCTCCTGGATTTCAATTTAAAGATCCTCTCATTTCGTTCGTTCCAGATGTTGTAAACCACTGCTGGAAGAGCCATTCTTTTAACTTTCAACTTGAAGCCTTTCACCCTTAACCTCTTACAGTACCAGTCAAGAAGCAAGCTGCAATCACATGTACTCTAATTAAACTTGAGCCATTCCATAACCCCATTCCAAACATACATAGAGAAACTGCACTCAAAAAACAGATGTTTATGGCTTTCAAAACCTCCTTCACACAGAGAGCAAAGATCAGATTGAATAACCCCTCTCCTGAGCAATCTATCTTTTGTAAGTAGCCTATTTTGAATGGCCAACCACAAGATAAAAGAGTGCTTAGGAAGATTTGAGCTCTCCCAGACTGTATCAGACCAAGGTGCAGATACATTGTTATTCACTAGAGTTAGGATTTTATACAGCTTTGAGAGGTGAACCTTGGAGTGATTATAACAAGACCTGATGTGTTGCTTTAGAATATCAGTTCCTCCAACAAGATTCACTGCTTTGTCCCTAGCTTTTAACAACTATTTCCATAGCCAAGAATCACCTGATTTCACACTCACTTGCCAAATGTTTGAGGTTTTTAAATAGGTACCATGGACCCATTTAATCCACAAGAGTTCTTTGTTATAGTGTACATACCATAAAGTTCTCATTGCAGTGGCCAAGTTCCAAGTAGTAGCAAAGTAAATTCCCAGGCCCCCTTGGTTCTTCCCTGTGCAAACTTTTTCCCATGACACAAGAGGAGACTTGAAACAAAGATCAGATCTTCCCCATAGAAAGTCCCTGCAGAGATCATTAATTTTTTGAAGGATTTTTGAAGGCAGAATATAATAGGAAGTCCAAAAGATTTGAACTCCAAGAATAACACTTTTGATTATCTGCAATCTGCCTACATAGGATAGAGATCTGTGCTTTGACCAGACCTAAAATTGATTAGAAATTTTCTTGAACAGGGGACTGCAATCAACATAAGACAATCATTTTGCAATCAGAGGTAAACCAAGATATTTGAATGATAGAATCCCCTCAGGAAAACCAATGTGATTGAAGATGTTGTTCTTTATAGTATCTTCAACTCCGCCATAAAAAATGTAACACTTTGTGAGATTTGCTTCAAGTCCAGAGACAGCTCCAAAATTCTTGACACACTGGTATATTTTCAAAACTGAGCAAACATCACCCTTACTGAATAATAGCAGGTCGTCTGCAAAGATTAGGTGGGAAATCTTGAGCCTTCCACATTTGGGATGGAATTTAAAGTCTCTGTCATTATTCAGCATACTCAATTCTCTAGATAGATATTCCATGCCAATGATAAACAAGTAGGGGGAGAGAGGATCTCTCTGCCTCAAGCCCCTTGCTCCTTTGAAATATCCATGATAAGAGCCATTAAGAGAAATGGAATATTTAGGAGTTGAAACACAAGTCATAATCCAATCTGTAAAGACTTTAGGAAATCCCAGTTCTCTGAGCATTTGATCCAGAAAGTCCCAACTAATTGTGTCGAAAGCCTTTCTAATATCTATATTAAGCATGGCTCTAGGAGATAGATGCTTTCTACCATAGTTTTTAACAAGCTCATGAGCTAGTAAGATGTTATTTTGAATTTGTGTACCTTTTACAAAAGCACACTGAGCTTCACTGATGATAACTCCCATGACAGACTGTATTCTGTTAGCAAGAATCTTTGAAATAAACTTATAAATGCAGTTGCAGCATGAAATTGGTCTGAAGTCAGCGGGATTTGTAGGACAGTTCACCTTTGGAATGAGAGTAATTGCTGTTGAATTAACAGTGCCCAATAACTTTCCAGACTTGAAAAAGCCCTCAATAGCTTGTGTGATTTCATCACCTACAACAGACCAAGCAGACTTGTATAAGGATGCACTATACCCATCAGGGCACCACAGGGCCTGGTGCCTTGTCATCAGGCATAGAGAAGATTGCATTCCTAATCTCATCCTTAGTAACTGGCTTAGATAAATCATTGGCTTGAAGAACATTTAGACAATGGCCTTTTTGGATTATGCCAATATCAGGAGAAACAGTTGTGATTGAAGATCCCAGCAAGGACTTGTAATAGGATACTAGCTCCTTAACTATCTCTTCACCCTCAGTAATCCTTTCACCATTGTTGTTATACAGAACCATGACTCTATTCTGGTGCCTATTGATCTTGATAACATAATGAAAAAAGTTTGTGCACCTGTCCCCTTGAAGGCTCCAGTTAATTCTAGCTTTTTGTTGATAGAATGATAACATTTTTAGTCTTTGTTGTATTATATTTGCATTTAATATGCAATTACTATTTATATAAATTTTGAAATGTCAGTTCCTATTTTATTGTGAGTAATCAACACGAGATGTCCAAGAAATTTATTAACTAGAAGAAATAGATACGGAAATCTAAGTTTTCTCTTATTTTTACAATAGGATATATATAAACTTTTGGGGATCTGTGTACGCGAGTCATTTTGCGATTCCACACTAAAAGAGGACAAGAGGAAGGATCATTGTGAATGCATCCGCTGCTGGGTGGTCATGTCCACCAAGAATGAGCTTCTACAATGTATCTAACAAAAACTCTTACTACAAATTCAATTAGCTTGATATAATGAAATATTTAATGGTATTAGTCAAATAATTGGGAGTTCTAACTTGTTCAGGCTAGTAAAGCTGCCATGATCAGCTTCTATGAGACTCTGCGAGCTGAGTTTGGGCCGGAGGTGAAGGTCACTATCGCAACACCAGGTGGTTGGGTGGGGGACTGAGATGGTTAAAGGGAAGCACTTATCCAAAGAAGGAGTTATGCATGTTGATGCAGATATAACAGATGTAAGTATGAAATTCATTTAAAGGTTTTATAGCTTGGCGGAGTTTGGACAATATTTTTGGTATGCATATTTTTGGAGAACACGAACAAGTCATGAGTATGATTAGAGTAATGCTAACTGTATTACACAATATGTATCACTTCTGCATTAAACATCGCCTGATCCTAATTCATGAATTAGGACTTCATATGTTTGTATCTGTGGCATATCAAAGTAACATGAGATTTGCACTAAAATTAGCATTCTTTTAGATATTTTGCTAAATGTTAGTACAATTAAACTTTTATTTTCTGAAGTAGGGATGCAGATCTTGATTTCAAATCACGAGCAAAGGCATTATATGTTTGTAATTGTAGTATTTATTGTAGTATTTAAGTAGAATGAGATTCATAGTACACTTTGCATTATTATTTTCTCTTGTTGAGAGACTACTACACGTTAAGACTAACAATAAGACTATCTTCCAACAATAGAGATACATGTCCTGATTGTAATCCACAAGTAGTTTTGAACAATACTCTCGAAGTAGTATGAGATTTATAGCATAGTTAACGCTAATCTCTTCAGTTATTCTGTCAAGAAACTTTTCTACGTACGTATATTGGTAGATAATACCGCATCTTTTTGGTGATCACGTCATTGTATTTATCTTGATTATTCCATAATAGAATGTAAGCATCGTTACTATACCTCTCTCAATATATGGACTCTTGCAATTTTTCTAAACATGATCACCATCTTGATTGAATTATATTCCTTGAAAAGTGCCCATATGAATCATCCATATATTGAAACACCAGGGTATCATAATGTTTTCAATTGTGATCAATCTATACTGTCTGCATAGGCCCAGCTCGGCCCGTTCCCTGTGTGGCATAAGGAGAACTGTGCGAAGGCCATAGTAGATGCAGCGTGCCGCGGTAACCGCGTGATGACTGACCCCACATGGTTCCGGGTGTTGTTTATGTGGAAACTGTTGGCACCGGAGGTGATGGAGTGGTTTATGCGTATGCTGTTTGTGCCCGGACCGGGGAAATCTCATGAGGAAACCTGGAACAAGTATATGTTGGATATAACAGGGTCTAAAAGTGTTATTCACCCTCCTGCTGTTCAATCTGGCGAAGTGAAGCAGGATTGAAGGCAGGCATGTTTGCTTGTTGGTTTGGTTGGTTTCTGTGTGATGTAGTCTTTGTTTGTGATGCGAAGATGTTGGAAATTATTTGTAAAACAAGATTACAGCATAAAATAAATCCGAATTAAATAAGTAAGAGATAAGAAATTCAGGGCTGACGGGAGCAGTCATGTAATCACTGTCCTAGAAGATTGAGGATTTACCTATCGCCCTGATGCAGTTTGTGATGCAGTCGTGTAATTTCAATATAACTTCGTAATTTTAAACTTTTATTCATCATATAGATAGAAGTTATAAGATATACCTCTTGATTTGATTTTCTAAGACATTGATTCATCATATTTCCTGTAACTAGGCATATTAGTTGGCGGAGCATATTTATATCAACTCTAATCATTTTCTGAAATCTCAAGAGAAAGCATTATACATGTATTCGAATGAAGAGTTATACAATGATTCTCACTATTAAAATGATATATAGGATATCAAAACATGTTGGCATAGTTATTGATGTCTCTTATCGAGAAATTTCTAGTTAACAATAGATTATAATAATTAGACATTTTTATTTAAATGTATAAACAAATTTGATATATGCTCATGAAAGTAAAAATTGTAATGATTAAATATTATCAAAGAATGAATAAAAAAAAGCACAAAGGATTTGTCATAACTTCCAAGTTCTTTAGGAACACAATATGTTGTACATTTAAAGAACTAAAGTCCAACATTGCTAATAGAATCTTTAGTGTTCAATAGATAGAGGAATCAATTAACAAGAAAACTAAACAGCAGATTTGAATGTAACATGTAACAATAAAGGTCATGGTCTATGTCTGGAGATGTAATTACATAGGGTTTGTGTAGATTAGAATTTGGTCTATAAAGTGGAACTAAAATACTTTAGTTATATCTTCACATGCATGCATATGCACATATATGAATGACATTACTAATAGATACATGTAAAGCATTAAAGAGAATCTTATAATAGGATCGTATCTTAAAATATATTTCATACTTCATATGCATAATTTTTAAATTTTCCTTTTATAAGAGGTTGCAAATTAGTTGCATACAAAGATGACCTTCCAAATTTAAATTGGTTGCCTACAAAAGAGACATTCTAAATTTAAATTAGTTGCCTATAAAAGACCTTCCAAAATTACATTGGTTGCCTACAAAAAAGACATTCCAAATTTAAATTGGTTGTCTACAAAAAGACCTTCCAAAGTTACATTGGTTGCCTACAAGAGAGACCTTCCAAATTTACGTGGTCATTTTCTAGTACCACCTCTTAAGCATATCATTTTTTTTTACACACGAGCTTTTTACAAGTGCATTCTAGCATAAAACTTGTAATTAATTATGTAACAAATGCAAGTGATATAATATCAAGTGCATTCTAGCATAAAACTTGTAATTAATTATGTAACAAATGCAAGTGATATAATATGACATATGAATATCCATCATAATGCAATAAAAGAGAATTATGTAACAAATGCAAGTGATATAATATGACATATGAATATCCATCATAATGCAATAAAAGAGAGAATTCTTACATTTGAAGATTTAAGTTATATTTCACCATATAAGATAGAAATAAAAAAAGCACCTCTTGATTTGGTTCGCTTAGATATTGATCAACATCATTTAACATTTAACATTAGGCAATACACGATGCAACATGCATCTTCTTATTAACTATAAGATAAAACCAATTAACTGTTAAAATAATTAGCAATTAATTAAATTAACAGAAACATTAACTACAAAATTTATTTATTTTTAATAATGAACAATAACCAAATTTTTTTAAAATGAACAGTAGCATTTTCAATAAAATGAACAGTAATATTTTTAATAAACCTGTTTTCCCGAGTTTTAATCAACAGTAACTAATTAATTAACTAATCAATCCAATGAACAGTAGTAATATAATTAAATAAACAGTAACAAAAAATGATTTTTTTCCCAAAATAGTAAAATTATCCGATGAACAATAACTTTTTCTAAAAAAATAACAGCAACTAATATAAAATGTTAATTAACAAATAAGCAAGCAAATAATCAAGCAATCTGCAGATTTTTTATATGAACAATAAACAAAGAGTTTTGGTGAACAGTAACTATTTTTATTCTTAAATGTTTTTTCTCGAATAAACAGAAAAAATATGTAATAATTAAAAGCAATTAATTTCGGATTTTAAATTTACAACTATAAAATAAGTCAATCTTCTAGATTGTTGGAAATTATCTTTAAAACAAGATTACAGCATAAAATAAATCCGAATTAAATAAGTAAGAGATAAGAAATCCAGGCCTGACGAGAGCAGTCGTGTAATCACTGTCCTAGAAGATTAAGGATCTGCCTATCGCCCTGGCGCAGTTGATCCTCTCCCCCCTAGCGGTAAAAAGCTCCTGGAAATGGCCGGCCTCTGAACTCGGGCGAGAGTGCAGAGCTTCAACTCAGACGAAGAACGGTTTCCCCAAAATAGCACCAAAGATAATGAGGAAAATTTTCACTTTTGAAAGTAGAGGAGAGAAGAGAAGAAGAGAGAATTGTTGGTTTTTTCTTATATTTTTTGAGCTCAACATATGGAGGTTTATATTGTAGGCGTCTAAAAATGCCAATAGGTATCCACTCACAGCTCGAGAGAGAGAGAAGGTGATGAGCGCCATTATATAAGTCCAAGAGGATTATCCGACGCCAACCAGCGAATCAACGAACTATTGATGACGTGGCCTGCACGCTCACCGGCCACCACCAAGTAGCCCGCGTGCCCATCGGCCACCAAATCTGCATGTCCATCGGCTACTAAATCGACTGACTAGCCCGTGCACTCACCGGCCACCTCTAAGTGGCCCATGCACTCGTCAGCCAGCTCTAAGTGGCCGGCATGCTCACCGGCCATCACCAAGTGGTCTGCACGCCCATCGGCCACCAAATCGACGAACTAAGTGGCCCGCGTGCTCCCCAGCCACCACCAAGTGGCCCGCACGCTCATCGGCCATCAAAATAGCGTACAGATCAACGAAACGACGAAATACACGTAACGACGAAACAAGTCAAAACCCGGAAAACCAATAAAAGCCGTTGGCGACCGAGTCACATCAAAATGACTCGGCCGAACCAGTGGTTCGGCCCAAAGCCAGATCACCAAAAGGTGACTCGGCGGTCGAGCCACCGGGTGACTGTTCGGCCAGATCTGATCTAAAACGTGATTTTTCGATTTTTGACGGATTCTCGTGGGATTTGTTGGTTCCTGAACATCCCAACTAATCTGATACTATGGTTAATCAGTTTTTAACTGAAGATAAGTATGAATCCCTCGTTCTTATCCAAATACCAGCTTCCGAAGCTTGTAAATACGAGCTCGGGTGCTCAGTTCTCAGGGCTGAACATCAAGAGGGCGAGGTGTTGCCGGATTCTCGAGTGCATAGCCACGAATTTTAGCAAGGGTTAGCAGATCTCGACGATCTTCTATGCATAAAGAGTGGAGTTCGAGAGATTTGAGACTCGTCCCTTATTCCTCCGGATTTAAGCTTAGTCTTAAATCTCGAGAAGAGTCGTGATCTCGCTTGGTCGAGATCATCGCTACAGTAATTACTTCCTTCGTGAAGTAAGAGCTTTGATCATCAATCTGTCAACCGGATCTGATCTGTGGCGGTCCACGGATATTAACGTCCCCGGCACAGGAAAAGTTCACACGCAAGCAGCGGGTGATAAACGTCTGTTGCGCTGTTTGACAAGAGTCGTATCTTTTGTATTTTCATTATATAAGGAGATCTTATAAAAAGATCAACTTTTTATTTGAGTTTATTGTAAACGATTAAAGTTGTAATAGATTCAATCATAATGAAAACAATGATTTTTGACCCAAACAAGCTGGCGACCGGGCCACCAATTGGTGGCTCGGTTTTGGCCGAGCCACCATTTGGTAGTTTGTGCCGGTTCGCGCCCGGTTCGGTTCGGTCCGTGTCCGGTTCGGTTCGGTTCGCACCCGGTTCAGTTCGATTCGCACCCGGTTCACCTCTCGCGATCCCGTTTAAACCTCTGATAGCCTCTGTTTCTGTCCCGATGAATTCCACACTTCCGGTGAAGCCTCACGACCACGGAGACTTGTCTCGTTTCAAGATGAGGATGACGGATCGCCTGGGTCCTTTGCACGAGGATCGAGACAAAGTTCCAATCAAAGAACGCTTAGGTCCGGTGACTGAACCCCGAGCAACCACTCGAGCTGGGGGTCGCACACACCCTCGCAACAAGTCAGAGCCTTCCTATAATGGGAAAACCCCTGCACTTGACCGCCTCGGACGACGAATTGAAGTCCAAGAGCCCGTCAAGAGTTCCCGCTCCTAAAAGCGTAGCTCCAAATACGTGACTCTTAAGAACGCCAATAAAGCGGCAAGATCTCAGAAGGAAACGTGTTCGTCAGACAATAACGTTATACCTGAAAAGTTGTGCCAATACACGATAGGTTGCTCCGGTCATATGACCGACGAGTTGTACTAACGGGCGGGGGGTACGAACAAGTCTCGGAAGAGAAGTACCCGAGAAACAGAATCTCATTGCCCGTGCACTAAACTTATCAGGACAGTATTATCAGCGTGTAGCTACCCCAAGGCCGCTCCACAGAGAGTCTCGATATTTGAGAGGATCTCTAACGGAGCAACTAAGTCCAAGCCAAAACGTTTTCGTAAGAAATGATTGGTCACTCAAGATGAAGAACTTCCAGAAGTCATGATTAATATGGCTGATAAGGGGAAGTCGATTCGACCTTTTAGCTCTGACCCGCTTATATCGCATCGTCTAACCCGGTAACGATCAGGAACTATTAGACAAAGGGATTATCAGAGAATACAGAGGGGATTATCCTCGGATGATGAAGCATCAGATGCCAACTCTATAGTCACTTCTGACAAAACGGTATCCAGCCCAGGGGAATCCCGCGAGGTGTTTATGATTAACACCGAGGAAGTGGCCAAAATCGTTGAGG